CACACACACACACACACACACACACACACACACACACACGGGAGGGGGTGTGAAGCAAAACTAATAGAATAATTCTTAAAAGGAATCGCACATTTCCCCTGTGATGGCAGGCTATTCCTTCATACTTACATTCTAGGAATCAGCTTTTCTTCAGTCACGTTGTTGACACAGTCAAAAGGAGAGTAGCACAGCTCTGGGCAGGGAAGTCTGGTTAACAACCTGAACAAGGAGGTTTCCCTTCCCTTCTCTACCTCCTCCCCCTCTTCACCTCCCCTGTTCCTTCTTAACACTTTCACAACAATGAATGCTGTACTGGCTTTACCAAAAGCTGTTCTTCACTTCAGCAGCTTGTCCTTGGGTCACTGACCTTTTCAAGTGGGAGCAAGGAACTTGGGTTTGTGGTTAGACTTCTTCCTACACAGGTGAAAAGAAAACAGAATCAGGTGCATAATTCCCTGGGAGCCACAGAACCATGAAATGCCAAGTCTGGGGGCAGGGTAGCCAGAGCTGCTTTCATACACTTCTGAAGACATTGTCCTCGGTCACTTTCCATCATTCCTTTTAAAAGAAATTCTAAATACCAAGGGTGTCATTGAGTTGGGAAAGCACTTTTGCCCATCTTGCGAAAGTCCCTGGGCACAATCTGCAGCGCTGTATAGTAAACTGACCTGTAATCCCAGAAATCATGTGGTGGAAGCAGGACAATCAAAAGTCCAAGGTCATCCTTAGCGACACAACAAACTTCAGTCAAGACTTGGATGAAGGTAAGTGAAGCCCTGCCTCCCTAAATAAAAAGCAAATAAAATAATAGATAAAACAACTTAGCTGGGAATTGTGATACACACTTGCAACCTCAGCACTCAGGAGGCTGAGAAAGAAGCATCTTTAATTTGAAGCTAGCCAGGGATACCTGGAGAGTCTGGGACAAGGACTGAGGATGGAGCCAATGTTAAAATGAGCGCTAGTAAGTGCAAGGCCCTAGGTTCCATCCCCGGGGAGGCAACGAAGGAGAAAGGGCCATAAAATAGAATACATTCTTAGAGCTAATACATTAGGAAATTGGATTATAATAAAACTTGTGGATTTTCTTGCTTTTTTTTTTAATTTATAAACACTAACAGGAATAGGGATGTTAACCTGGATTAGAAAGCTATATTTGTTAAGATGAAACTTTTCTTATAAAAACTATTGTAAGATTTTCTTTTCTTGCTTGCAAAATGCATTACCTCCATCTGCCCTAAAAATTAGGGAGCACTATTGACACAGTTATATAAGGTTGGGTGTGTGCCCTTTTTTGAAGTTGGAGGGGTTCTTTTGACACAGAAAACGCATGAATGAACAATCTGCAGGCCTCTCTCCAACTGTCAATTCGACTTAAATTCAGAACAAGGAAACAACCCGTCTATAAGAAATGTACTTGAAAAGGGCCTTTAAATATGTATAATCTGTGAATCCGTTACAAGAGAACACAATGCACAACAGCTCATATGATTTTAAATACCTACTTACTTTGACTTCAGTGTTCCTCTGCAATAGTTCACCTCCACCATTCTTGGCAGCTCCCTTGCAGGCCAGAAAAAACATCAATAGATCAAGTAATGAAAACAGTGGTTATTTGGAGCCACAGAAGAAACATTAAATTGCTAATTGCTAATCCTAGAAGGATCTCAAATTCCCCCTATCATGTCCATGTACCATCCTCTAAACATTAAGAAAAGGGATGAACCTCAGGAACGAGGTGGGATAAAGCAAAGAGCCATCAGAGTGGTGAGAAAGGGAAATGATGATAATCTTGATTACCACTGAGCACTTCCTGGGGACAAGTCATTAGAGTAGGCCTTTCAACTATTCCTGTTAACGCCCCAGCCACATTGTCAGTCAAGATTGCATTTTGGAAGTGAGGACAGTAACAGTTCAGGAAGTCAAATAACTTTCCCGAAACTCCATCCTAACTGGTAAGTGGCTGAGCTAGAATTCCAACCTGGATCCATCCGGATCTAGACAAATACTTGCAAGCCCCTGAAAGGCTTTTAGACCCATGAATACTTTATGAATGGAATGCGCTTTAGAGTCCTTTCTGAACTGGGTCATGGTCAGCACCATTTCCATTTTCCTTCTCCCTTGGATCCTCTCCTGTGCACAGAGCTGGGGAAGTCAGGGCTCATGAGAAAATGGAGCTGGACCCTGCACCCAATGCCAGACAAGAAACCCCACTTAGGTGTGTCTGGTCCAAGACAGGCAGACTCCTAACTCTGAGAGAGCAGTGGGTACAAGCACAGCAGAATCTGTGGTTTTTTTCCCTGCACAGCTGGAGATGGAAGCCTAGGGAGCACTCTCCCACTGGGCCATACCAGCTTTGGGCATGTTTGTGAGCCCTGCCATGGGCCCCACTCAGCAACATCGAGTGAAGGACAAACCCTAGTGAAAATGATTCCCAAAGACATGATCCTGATAATTCTAGACCTCTCTTCCAGCCTCTTGACTTTGCACTTTATAGAACAACTATCTGGGGGAAATGAATGTGCTCCAACTGTAAGTATCCTGATGCAGAAACAATTTCAGCTCTGTTAACCATTGCCCTGGAACCCAGAACTCAGTGAAATAAAATGTATTTCACTGCAGGAGCCCCAGCTTTGTGATTGGAAATGAGTCCTGTTGACTTCCTAGGGCACTCTAATAAATCACCACAAATTGAGTGGGCTAATAACACAGAATGTTATCCTTTCACGGCTCTGAGGATAAAAGCACAAACAAAATGCAGGTGTTGGCAAACCTAGGCTTTCCTGTAGGCTGCTACAGAGA